TCAGTTTATGGGCTCGGATCCAAATATGCCTCCAATGCAAATGTGTCTCATATCCAGAAGTTACAGACACAGACCTGGGGTGAAGCAACAAGCTTCAGAGAACTTTCAGGGAACCCAAGGAGATAAAGCTCGAGCAGTTGCATTCCCAGTGAGATTCAAGGATGCCCTACATGCAATACAGGTGCTTCATTGTCTGCCACCAACTACTTCATCTCCCTTGCAGCATGGTCTGATGCTGTCTGCCACAAAGCAGGTGAGACTTACAGTCAGCCTCAGCTTGGCCTGCCATTAGGCTACATGGATGGTCAGGGCTTGATTATCAGTATCCTAGATATGTAATATAAAGATGTACAATGTGATCAAAGTCAGTCCACTTCCTGATCTGGCCTCAAGGTAAAATGTATCATTAGTCTCCTCCCATTTTCTTAAATGTCTCATTCAGAGACTGAAACCACGGCTGATGTGAGAAGGGATGGCTTGGGTCTCCTCCATGCCACACTCAGTACAGCAGTGCCACACACATGGTACAGCTGTGGCACAAGAAGCATAAGGGTGTCCAGAACTGCAGACTGAATTACTGAGTTGCTGCTAGTTTGCATAGTCACACATTTCCGTCAATTGTGTGTGAAATATTCTGTGAAATATTTTTAGAGAGAGAAATTATTCTGTGGCAGTGACACATTTGTCAAATCTGTATGAAGTTGGCTAATGTATTTAAGAAGAACAAAAGAATATTGGTTTTATAAATATATTTTCAGATCTCAATGTTTCAGATTTTCTTTTGAAACTATTTTTAAAGATAGAAGTCTTGAAAACATGTAAAAACTTTGAAAATAACAACGAAAATGCAAACTATTTTATTGACATTATTTGACCCAAAAACTTAGGTAATTTTAACATAAAAACCCAGTTAAGAAATAGAAGGTTTTGAAATACACAAGAAAGAATGAAATCACAACCTATCAGAAAAGGCATAATGTATACTGGTCCAGCATACATAACAGCATTATGTATGTGTATATAAACACATATATACACACACATATATATATACCTCCAACCAACGTCCAGAATAAGCTGAGAAACTAATAAAGCTCAAATATCACGAAACAACATTCCAAAAGTAAGGAGGCTTTATTTCAAGAAGGCAGCTATCATACCATCAGTATATCTGACTTTTCTATACCAACCTTTTTTCAGCCTTGACTGAACAATCTAGCCAGTGATCTTTATTCAAATCTACAGGTGGATGCAGAATAATTATGCAGACATACCCTCCCTATTTAATGAAGGCAGAGAAAGCAGTGCCTGCAATCATCCTAACTGCTGCTCACAACGGCCACTTTAACCCACAGTCAATCACAACTCTGTTTTCCCTTTTGATCACCTAGATAAGTGCATATCCCTCTTGTGACGGGGAGTAAAAGCAGACAGAGAACTCGAGAAACACTGAGTTAGTATTGGTGCACTCCAACATATTCAATAACTTTTCATTTTAAAAGATGAGCAGAGACAAGAGCTTGTCATTAGGAAAATGCAAGTGCTTATTACTAGAACAAAATGATTGCTCCTATGGATACATTATTATTCACACACCATAGTATGATTCTGCCATTGATAAGCTATCCAAATTCAGTCGTAATTCCTGTTATTTGATGTCCTGAAATTCAAAGATATCCCTTAACAATATACGTCTATGAGTAAAATTCAGAGAGGGTAACAATAGTACACAAATAATTCCAAAATACCAGAATAATAATTGTTGCTTTTCAGAAGGATTATAAATATATTTGCAATTTATTATATGTCTGAATTACTTCATGAACAGAAAAACTTAAAGCTTCTTAGAGACAGAGTGGGTCTTTATTAATATAGAGAACATTTTGCTTAACTTTCCATTGCATCACCTCACTGTGATACAGTCTTTGTGAAAAACAGCCACTTACATAAAAGGCAGTATCTGCTGAAAAGATGTTTCTCCCAGCTTGCAGTAAAAACTCTGAATTTTATCACTGACACCAATAGGCCCTTGATTTCACTTCATGTCCCTAAGGCTTATTAGAGACACTGAATAATTGAGGAAAAAAATAAAACAAATTTAGGAACCAAAAAAGCTGTATTCCTTATACTGTTTCAAATAGTTAGGGCTAAATCCTAAGTTCCTGTACATTTGTTTAGGCACTGAGGGCTAGTTTCAAAAGAACAGACGATGCAGAACTTACACAGAATTTAGATACTCAAGTCCTCAGCAATGATCCTGTCGAAGCTAAACGCTTACCAGGCAGGCCACGTCTACCATCAGCATGAGACTCAGGGGCTTTAGAGATCTACTGGATGTTACATCAGTGTCAGTGCAGCTCATAGAGCTTCCTGGTAAACCAGCTGCTAGAGAAGGATTTGCAAAGGTGGCACTTACTCTGTGTGACGTCTCTGAAACAATGCAGCTCCCACCAGCAACACTCAGATACAAAAAAGCCTTAAGAAAAATAATCAAACCTATATGCTAGCAAGAAACAACAGAAATATACCCAGAAAAAAAATATTTCAAGCAGCTGACTGCAACAACTCATGAAAGTGATTGAAAAGAACTGAAATGACAGTGGGTAGGCTATGTTTTATGAACCATACACCATCAGGACGAAGACAGGAGCAAAAGCATGCCCCTTGTGGATAGTGGGCAAGGAAAACGTTCCACTCTCACATACAAGCTGCAGTACAGAGCCTCTGTGCACAAACACACCATGAGAACATACAAGTAAACTCACATGAAGCATCACATAGACAGTGCAATTGCTTGTGAAGTACGACAGTGTTCCCAAGGAGAGGAAGGGAATCACAACCTAGTCCTTAAATTGTACTATGTTAACAAATGGCTGGAGTAATTGTTATGCTTATTCGATTCACAGTCCTAGCTTATTGAAATTATTAACAGAAAAGCCCAGAAGACAGTGATAAATGAGCACTGTCTCCTGGATCCATCATCTATTCTACAGCAAGTTAGAGTTGTGAAATAAACTAACTGACACCTGATAATCTTCTCATTGAAGAACATATTTAACCCAGCCTCAGTAATAGCCATAAACTATTCTTGGTGAGAGCTTTCCCATTGCAATCAATATTAATTGTATAAGCAGACCAAGAGCACTAAAAGAAACTAAAAACTTTAAATTAATTCCTGTCATTTAACCCTAGTATAACACCTCATACCTTTAAATCTTTTGTATTTCTTCCTTTCTGCTTCCCTCATCTTTGCCACTTTGTGCAGACACTGTGTTCTGCAGCAAATTATATGACATTTCCCCTTTTAGCCATATTTAAAAATAGCTGCTTCCTGACTTTCTCAAGTCAGTGGAGTGGGTTATGTATTCTTCTTTTCCCCTCAGTCTGCATTATGTAACCCTAAAGTCATGATTATTTCCAAAATAGGAAAGATAATCACAATTTTCTTTCAATAGTCCAAGAATTTAAGACCATTTGACTTACAGTCATGTAGTTTTACTCCTGCAAGATACAGAATTCCCATAAGGCTTTCTTGTGACAAACCCATAGTGATCTTTTGGACTAATATGGGTTGCTATACACCACATCTGCATCCTCCCTTGTGCTATGGCTACCACAGGTGAGAATCATAGAATCACAGAATAATTTAGGTTGGAAAAAACCTTGAAGATCATTGAGTCCAACCGTTAAAGGTTGATGCCTTCCCTTATTAAACCTTCAGCCATTTAACAGCATACCTGATGACCCTAGAACAGCTATCACAATGGACATCCATTACAAGAAGGTATCAAGGACTATTCCAAGCTAACCAGAGCTGAAGAAATCTCACATAGCTAACCCAGCTGTAAAGCACCACCAGAGAGGTTCAAGAATTATGTGGCACTCAACAGAAAATGCAGCTAAATTTTGAGTAAAAATATGAAAGAATCTTTGTCTGTATAGGGACTGAAAAAGCAACTTGAATACACAGAAAATTAAATGAATCAGCCGTAAATTCCACCTGCCTCCCAATAAATAAAGAGAAAATATCAAAGAGCACAGTATCTATGAAATGAAAAAACATCTGATATGCATAGATTATCTTAGTCCCTACACTTCATTATACTAATGACAATAGGATGAGACAAAGAAAACATTAGAACAGCTTTGGATTGGGTTAACTAGTATGACTTACAGAATAGGAAGGAATTTCAGTTTCCAAAAAAAAGAAATAAATAGCTGTATCATACAATTATCCCCTCAACATGCTTGATTAATCATCTTACGGTACCTTTACGGATAAGAACAGTAAGTCTACAGAACACGTTTCCAGAGGAGAAGCATGGTATTAACACTGTGTACCCATATTAATAGTACCCGAGCCTCCATTGTTTTATCGTTTAACTGCCAGAAGAAAGAAGTGCCAGGTCCTTTCTTTAAATTTAATAGTTATTTTTAAAACATAATCAAACTATATTTCTTTTCAAAAATTCACAAATGAATTGGTCTATAAGCATGCCAGACGACCAGATTTCTGGATTTACCGAACAGTCCTACCTTTCTAATTTAGCAATAAAGTAATTTTAACACTTGTAACTTGGTGCTCTTAAACAGGTCAAATGTAGTGGTGTGAACACTCTACTTTAAAATGATACTAACAGATTACTTACGTTTTAACAGATTATTAAATTGTTGCATTCTACAGGAACAGAGATTACATTTTAAAATTCTGGTCTAGGAAGTGACATTACGAAGAAATTCTTGTTGCTAGCATGTGAAGGATTATGTCTGTTCTGTACTAGTGACAATTCACAATAAGCATAAAATAACTTAAACATGTCTACGTTGTATCTGTAATACAGCATTTTCCACAGATTGTATGATATGATTATTACTCATTCTGGAGATCCGTATTCAGTGTTTGTTTAGATTTCTCTAGAAAAATGTTCCTTTCAACCTTTTAAAGAGCACGTTGAGAAATACAGGTTAAACTCTAATTTACACTAATTATAGGTTAAATTCTAATATACACTAAAATAGGCTTTGAGACACATTAAAAAAAGGAAAAAAGTCTGGTTACCTACATTGTTTATGTATTCAGACAGCAGGTCTTGGAGAGCTTGGCGGATAGCATTGCATTCAGCAATGATGCGTTCTCGATGAAAATCGCGTGTGCAGGAAGAATCAGCTAGCAAAGCCGCTCCACTGATAATAGCTTCCAGACGTTTCTCTAGTGATGGCCTTATTTTCTCTTCATTCACTGCGAGAGGATCCAGGGCAATTAAATTCTGGAAAACATCAGGAATACAGGTAAGAAAAGTCAGCCCAATTAAGTTGCTGCTTTATTTCATACTTGCATGAACTATAGTGACATTACGCTTCCTAGACTTGCAACTAGTCCTTTACCCTTGAAGCATCCAAAATACTTTTGACCATAGCAATTCTTAAAAAGAAGATATGTATCTTATACGAAGCTTGTAATGTCCATGTACAACTATGAAACTGTGTACGAGTTTACTAGTCAGTAATATTCCATGTTTTATCTAAGTATCTCAGACCAGAGTCTCAGCTTTGTTTGCAAGTGGGGTTCAACACCTCCAAAATTTAGTCTTTTAGAGATCAGTAGGACCTCTGGATTTAACACGAAAACAGCAGTGCCAGCTTACAGCTGAGAATGTTAAATCAGATTACATGAGCAGTCTAGTTCTGCTCATCTAACACAATCCCACGCTGTGGCAGAAAGTCACTGCTGCTATCTTTACCCGGCTGAAAATGGGCAAAGATCAAAATAGTAGCAATGGTCTTTTCAAAGGCCATAGATATAAGTGTCCTTTTGCTTTTCACTAGCTAGGCTAAACAAAAGCACACAACTCTTTTGGCATGATAAAATTAATTACATTTGCCTGTCAAACAAATATTCCAAAGAGAAAGAAAAGGAGAGGTGGTATTTTCATGAAGTGTGAAAGTAAGTACATTTGAGCTTCAGCATTTAAAGAAATCCAAACTAGTAATTTTCCATCTAACTGAACATCTGAAACAGTGTCATTATGGTCCAGATCACCAAGCCTATATTCCACATAAATCCATTCACCTGTTACATCCATATGTGGTTCCAAGCTTTCAGAAGAAATATTAAACAAGAAAACCGCACCATATACCCTGAAGTGGAATTTGGGTCAGGTAAATCAGAACCTATCAGTGCTTATCTGATACGTACCGGACTACTTTTAAGCTGGAGAATTTTAATTATTTTTTCAATTTAGATTTAATATCACAATTTCAGGTACTGTCTAGCTTCGGCAATTCTAACAGTAGTGAAAGTGGTTTATTAGAACATCACAAGATAAAATCTTAAACAGCTAGGAAGGGGGACTTCAGTCACCTTGAAATTTTCTTGTTGGTTATTATTAACATTCTCTTACACGTTAGGTATGATTTAGGGAAAGGAAGACTTTGTTACATGTTCTATCCTCCCATCTTTTCTGAAATATACAAGAATTGTTTTGAGACAGCTGGGAGATTCTCCGGAAAATCCTAGAGAAAAGTCAGACTTTATCATCTGAATATTTCCAAAGGAAACCCATGCAGGGAGTTTCTGCATTACTGTGTCATTCAAATGGAAGCATGTATTTCCCAACTTGCAGGATCAGTGTATGTTTCTAAACATTCCACCTCCACTACTGTTCTATTGCCTTGAAGTCTTCCATCTCATTTAAAAGTATTCTAGTTATTTAAGCAGTTTCAGCACTTCAGCCCCATACTTACTATCTATTAACACACATAAAACCAGTGGACAATGAACCTTCTTAAACAACCCTTGTAAGAGCTTCTGTGGCCTAAATTTCTAGGTTTATGTTATACTTTGCACCAGAAACTGGGACTACATGAATTATAGTCCTCACATTTCCACAGACAATGACTAGAAAGAAAAGGTACTAGTGAATTTCCGTCTGTCTCCACATTTTCTGTGTTCAATTTGGGGATTTTCATACCACTGCAGAGTACCACAAAAAATCAGGCCAGTGCTACTGCTAGTACAATTTTCTGTTGTCTATTGTGAGAGACAATAAAAAGTCTAAACCTAAGTTTATGGACTTGTTTCAGCAAGTGACAGGATAGACAATTAAAATGGTTTATGGGTTTATGTCAGGTTTTTATGTGCATCCAGCAGATGCAACCATTGATTAAGTTAAAGTATTAGCTATGTATTTCTAAGCTCCTGGATTTTCTCAAACCAACGTTCACCTATCCAGACACATACAACATACTGAAAAGGAGTTCATGTGCAAGCAGAAGGGAAAAAGATTAAATATTTTGAAGATTAAAACCACAGATATTTGTATATCCATAAAAGTAACATATTAACCCTATTTGTATCTCTTAATTATTTCCTAAATGAAAGACATAAAAAATTTGTTGATCACGGACACATTAATCTCACGTGCAACTTTGGAAACAAAGCCAAACTGGGATGGAATGATACTCGCAAAGACAGAGCAAAGGAAACAGGCAGTCCACTATTTTCATCCTCTTCTGCAGACGTAGAGAAGTTGGAGCCAGTTAAGAATTACTTGGCAGTTACAAAAATTCCAACTTTTGCCCTCTCCAAGAAAGAGAGAAGAAAAGCTGAAGTTTTGCCAGGGCCTGGTAGACACAGCCATGAAGATTAAAATCCAAAAGAAAAGAGAGCACTCGGACAGAATGAAGATGGCTTGCTCTTCTACACTGAAATACCTCCATATACCCTAACGTCTTGTGGGCAGTGGATGGAACCAGACTAGCTCTCCCAGGCAATAGCATAGGAAGTAATTTTGCTTTTGCAGGCAATTTCTTAATTGCCAATGCCTAGAGTCAGGCCTGATAGGAGCAGTAATCTAGCTCTTAACAGTCTCATCAGAAGTCTTCCTACTACAATTAAAACATTAAGACTCCTATGTCCTTTTCTATAACAGCTGTTTCCAGAGAAGAAAGGAAATGTACCTGAAGACACTTTTCTGGAAGGGTGAAGACAATAAGACGCCATTTGTTCACAAGGATAACTTAAAGACACGTTAAGACTTTTAGTATAGGGCATCCATTTTTTCCTAATTTCTTCTCTTTGCTGAGCTTCCTTACAATAGTGAGATTATAGCTGAAGGCAAAGGAAAACTGCCCTCAATTTACCTGGAGGCAAGCTAAGTTACTACATGTCAAAACGCAACATGCATTGCAGGAAATTAGGGAAATGCAGTAAAGGAGATTGTAAGGAAGCGGTAAGAAGTGCCATTAAGGACACTGAAATGCAGGAGAAATTAACCTGTATCAGCTGTCACCTAAGTAAGAAAGCATAACTTTAAAAGCAGAATCAAAATAGTTCTCAGCAGTAGGAACTGTGTTTTCCTGCATAACAAGTGTTCAATGACTGCATTATCTAGGTCTTCGTTACTTTGGTTATATCCAAAGATATAAAGATATAGCAAAGTTAAAAATTAAAAAGCTTTGACTTTAGTAAGTAGCATATTAATACAGATTTGGAGAACTGCATAAAACTAGTCATTAATGTTTAAATATTTATGCTTAAAAAAATATAATTAACTTACACAAAAACAATAATTTCAAACTAATGTTATATGTGAAAGACTCATCCATGATGATCTTGTAAGAATGACAAGGGAAGGCATTCTAAGATATAGTCAGTTTCCAGAGGTCAGGACATACATTTCTGATGTGGAAGATAGGTTTATTTGTGTTAGAGGTTTGAAACTCTGTCTCACTCATTCACATTACAGTCCTTAACAACCAAAGCGTTCTCTGGTATCTCACCCCTGATGGAGCTGTGCCACTTGGTCACTATTCACTGGCGCAGCAACTTTACTGTTGTGCTCCTGTATCTCAAGAAAGCACCGACTTTACTGTTGTGCTCCTATATCTCAAGCAAGCACCCTCAACACTAGGTTATATGTACAGTGTCCACCATAATGTAGAACACACCTGCGAAGTAGAATATTCAAGTGTTACTATAGAAAGAAACAGCTTCATTGATTGTGGAAGACTAAGACACACCTGAAGGGTACAGCCAATTAGCCATTGACTGCCTTCAAATCTCAGACGAAAAGGGAGTAGAAATACCTTACTTTACGAGTCAGTTTGCAGAAAGTTCATGCAAAGATGGACAAATAGCACTGGCAAAAATGGTACTACAGTTCATCTCTAAATTAAAAAAATATCTAGGCAATAATAAGCAGGAAAATATGACTTAAGATTCTGCCCACAGATTAAATTCAAGCAATTTCATCAAATAGTTATGATCAGTGCATCTACACAGAAAAGACAATCCAATTTCCAACCTATCAGAAGACACCAGATATGCAATAAGCAGTTTTGGGGTTTTACTTTAACAGGGCTAAACAGTGGTTAGCCACCTGAGTTCTTAAGCATAAGTGAGCATTTAAAAGGAGCTATTAGGTCCCTGTTTTCTCCCTCATTGGTCTTCTGATCCATGAAAAAGAGGGTTCATAGATATCCAGAAATCTGGTTATATTTCCTGACCTTTAGAACTGATTTACAGTATTTTGACATCTCATACGTAATTGCTTTGCTAGATAGCCATGGTCATTAAAGGACCACATATCAGATAAACAGGCTGACAGAGAGTCAGTCATGCAAGACCTGTATTATTTTGTGAGAAATCTCTTTACATTCAGAAGATGCAAGATCCGTGAAAGTCATTAGATAACCTGCACCTACACGCTCTTTTAACACAGACCTTAACATGCAATTAAATTGTTAACATTACAATTGTGTGTTTATTTATGAATGATAGTTATATGGAGCCTTTAAGAGGAATTCTTGAGAATCTACTGATTTAAGAGTTAGCTGATCTAATTTTACTGGTGGTTTCCTCACCTATAAATCTGCAATAACTTTCACACTGCCAGCACTGGCAAAGGAAGAACGACATTGCAAAACATCTAGATAGTAGATCGTTGGGTAAGCTCCATGATACATTTCCACACTATAAACATTTAATGAGATTTGTTCCCAACAGACTATTTACTACATCAATCTATTTCATGGTACTGCATTTGCAACAAGAAGATAGAGCAAAGGTTATTTCAGGTCCTTAGCCAACAGAACTTTCTCCACAGAAAGAAAAGCGCAACCATCTAATTCATAAAATCATTTTCAGAAGTTAAATGCTCTGTAAATTGTGCCTTATCTAACTCACACAGCTTCAATTCCCATTTGTGTTACCTAGGTAAAGATATATTTAAAACTCCATAAACAAATGGCTTTTTCCAACAGTCAGACTTCTATGTTCTTACGTTTCCAAAAAAACCCAAATTCAATCCAAAAGACTTTTTTTCTATTTTGTGATTACCACAAATGTTACATTGTAAAATAAGAATTAATTTAATTACTTTTAAAAAAAAAAATCATTAAAACGATACTGCTCACATACAGTCAAGATGAATTCATCCGCAGTCAGAAGATGTAATCCTTTTCCCAAATTTTGTTTAAAAATTTTGTAAGTAAAACAGGTAAATAATAGCTCTCAAAGTACATACTTTGTCATTCAGTTTCATTTTAACAAATCATGTATTACTCTTAAATGTTCCTTTTTTCTTCTTCCATTTATTAAGACAATAGATTAGAAACTATAATTTTAAAACCCAGTCTGAGAAGCAAGGAAGGATGACATGTAACGTGCAATTGTAGTCTGTTCCTTTGGGAGGAAAAAAACCTGTCAGATTCAACTTTGCGCATGACTGAGAGGTCTGTTTTCATCAATAAACTGCCACTACAAGATGTGTGTCATATTTCAATGTATTTCCCTAACCTTCTGTGAAAATTTTAAACAAAATCTATCATCAGTCATAACACCAATTCTCCTGAAAATGTATCAACAATAGTGTTCTGAGGCTGAGATCTGAAAAGTCTTAGAATTTACAACCAAAAAGATCTATATTTGCAAATGTGTTTAGAAACTGTCGTTCCTCTTGTTGATCCAGGCCTACATTGGTTACATCAGATGAGGAGCATGGTCTGTAATCTCATCTGCAAGAGGTCTTTTACCATTTTTGGCAGGACAATGGAAAATAACACTGGTAAGAGCCACAGCAGCCAGGAGAAAAAGGGAAAGTTCCATACAAAAGCTTAGGATCAGGTCAGGAGTAGAGAAACAATTGACTTTCTCCAAGTATTTGCTTAAATAATGGAAGTAGAAATGTAGAATTTGTGAAAGCATATTGGTTATGTCACTTTATTTAATGATAAGCAGAAAACATAATTAGGTTTCTAAATCTTTCAATTAAGTTACATAATGATCCCAATGACAAGCACTTCCACTTGTGTTGTACTAGTTCAAATGCAGTCAAGGCAGCAGTGATTACCATCATCTGATAATCACTGTTATTTGTAAACCAAACTCACAGGTTCTGCCCACTTATTCAAGGATGTATCTGTCTCCATCATTAGTGACACACTTGGAGCTAATTCTTCCCTGCTGTTCAAAGGAAGCCAAATATTGAGCATACATGAAGACTTAATTCCAAACTCTTTTGAAGGAAGTGATCCTTCCCCATGAAATAATTTATAGTGATACTATTTAGACTAGGACTAAGCAGAGCATCAATTTCTAATACCTTTAGGTCCATCACTTACGATAGCAATAGCTAATTTAAAATAAACAAACCATTTTTCCAAAAACGTTGCAGTCTCACAGGTTTACGTACCTCAAGCTCATCAAGCGCACTTCCAAGAGTGGCTGTGTGAGATGTAAGTTGTCCCATTTTATTTCCAACTCCTTGGGAAGCATTAGAAATTACATTGAGAGCATTCTGTATTTCATTGCAAACTGAATCCTTGCTGGCTGTAAGGGATGCAACATCTGAATGTTCCAAACAAGCTGAACATATTGAATGTAGGAGAGAGGAATTTTCCTTCAGGGATGCACGTGCTGCAGCAATTTCATCTCGCTGATCGCTAGATTTCAAGTCCTGTCAGCAAAAGAACATTGTTTATTTCCAAAAGCACTTCAAAACTTCAAAACTGACAAGTAATGTATAAACAATTTTTTTTCTCTCTCTACTCTGTTTAAGGAAACATTGAGTTAAATTCATCAAAGATTGTGAAAATGGACTACAACAGTACTTACAATTGAATCATCTTTATATCACGAGAAATGAACAAAGTCTGTGTAAAACAAGCCCAATTTTTATTGCATCTTATAACCAGCACCATGAACTGTCCACAGTTTGCTTGCTTTTAAGCACGGTTTTCCTATGTGAAAACCGGCCTAGACATTAGCTGTCTTTCCTCCCAGACATGTCTTTCTTCATTAGCAATAGAGAAGGACAGAGGTGCAGACAGGGTTAAACAAGGAACTCTGTGATTGTTGCATCTAAACAAATTTCCTGTGTTTGCTTCCCTGCCCCATCACCACATGTCTGGAGCACACTGACTACAGAAAGGAACAGCAGGTCAGGGATGAGAATCCTGTATTCCTGGGAAATGGGAAGTGTGGAAGGTGTGGAAATGGAAAAGGTGCTTGAGAGAAGCCATCCCTGTGAAGCGCTATACTGCCTGTTTCTCCTCTCTCCCTGCCATGTACACACTTAAAGCACCCAGGGATCTTACCACGTTCCTCCTGGGCCTTCCTTCTCCACCCAGAACTTCTTGAAATCCTACTGCTTCCTGCCAGCCCAGACAACAAGGAACATACAGCTCATCAGAGCTGTCAAGCCAGATTTAACTGTTTCTAGGAATCAAGCTCGGGAGCTGTTATTTGGACAGCTGAAAGTTACGGACTTTGGGACAACCATACAGTCAACATCAGGATTGTAAGGAGCCTCCTGTCTCATCCTATTTTACTCTAGACATTCTCCCCACTCTCTTTCTGCATCTCGTCCCTTCAGGAAAAAAACCTAGTAGATATTTGCAAAATGGCTCCGGTGAAGGAGACAGTTAAATTCAGGGGAAGAATAAAACGAGGAAGAGGAAATAGCACACCAGAACAATAAAAGCCTGTGGCACCAGCTTCAAATGATGAGAAGAGGCACAACGAAAAATGAACAACAAAATGCATAGAAAACGGCTCGCAGCCTGCTCTAAAGCAAACTGAAGTCTTTCTAATTATTTTCCTTTGCATTGCATCAGGCTTTATATGCATTATTTACAAAAGCATCACGGTATCCACTTCTCACAGCATAAAGTTTATAAGTTTATGGCTGAAGAAAAGAACATTCAATATTAAATGAACCAGCCCTATGTTTTTAAAATCTCATTTACTGCCATATATGCATTGCACATGGGATTGTATCTTACTTCCTCAGGCTAACTTGGAAATCTCAGAGATACAGTAAAAAACAAATGAACAAGAGAGAGGGGGGGGAGAGAGAGAGAAGTGGAGCCTTAAACAGAAGCAGGCCATGGTTTAACCAGCTGATCATCTGAATTAGAAAACTGAGTTCTTTTCTTGGGCACATTAATACTTCACATATTTTTACATTTTCAATTAAGCAATATATAAACGAATCACCACTGCGTGGGACTGGCTTTGTTGCCTAGTGTGCTCAAATCCAAACATTCACGCACCTCTAACCTTCGTAAAGCATCTGCAATTTATCCAGTGCACTCTCAGCAAAAAGTGTTATTTGTTTTTAAACATGGACTCTCATTCTAATTAGTGAATCTACCTTTCCTACAATTAAATTACAAGACAATAGAATGCCCTTTTTTCTCCTATGCTGCAAGGAAGCTACAGACCTAAAGACACAATGGTAAGTCAATACTTCAGTCTACCTGCCTTCTATTCTTAACCATTTCTTCCTTTCCTGCATCATATGCAAACAATCAAACTCAACAGTCCTTCCAAATGACTTTTTCCCCTCTAAAACAGTAGTCTAACCAGGAACAAGAGGTTCATAAGAAATCCAAAACTGGCAAGCCAGTAGCACAAAGCCAGTAACAGCAAGTCAATAACATGGCATCTGGAAACATGTCCAGAAACAGACAAAAAAAAAATTAATGTGTTAATGTTTTTAAAACACAGAATGTTTTGTTTCACACAATATTGTGTAAAGTTTCAGAATCTGGGTATTGTTAAATTCACTTATGAAGAGCCTCACTATTGTTCAATAACACTTAAAAAAATAATGCTTGGACCCATGAAATTCATCACTACTTTGTTGTTCAGTTGTGAACCTTGGAGAGCCTCCAAAGAAGCTGTAGGGCCATTGTTCTTTTCCACTTTGATGAAGAATTCATCAAGATTTTTCATGAGAACAGGAAGAGACAGCTGATAATCTTAGCCTGATCTTCTGCACAAATGGGCCAAAAAGCCCTACAATTGAGTGATTTCTCTGTCAAATCTTTGCCTACATGAATTAGCAGAATAACGTAACTAGTTCTCTGCAGAAGGAAGTTAGTCTCTACAAACAGATTGTTAACCTATCGTCCCAATTCCTTTTTTACTTGTCAAAGAGAATATACCACTATGAAACATAAGAAAGCAACACTGAGAAAGTATACAGCACAGGAAAGACATGGACCTGTTGGAGAAGGTCCAGGGGAGGGCAACAAAAATGATCCGAGGGCTGGAGCACCTCTCCTATGAGGACAGGCTGAGAGAGTCGGGGGTGTTTAGCCTGGAGAAGAGGAGGCTTCAAAGTGACCTCAATGTGGCCCTTCCAGAGGCCTATATGAGAGATGGGGACCGACTTTTTAGCAGGGTCTGCTGTGAGAGAACAAGGGGTAATGGTTTTAAACTAAAAGAGGGTAGATTTAGACTTGACATAAGGAAAAAATTTTTTACAATGAGGGTGGTAAAGCACTGGCACAGGTTGCCCAGAGAGGTGGTGGAAGCCCCATCCCTGGAGGCATTCAAGGTCAGGCTGGATGGGGCTCTGAGAAACCTTATCTAGCGGGAGAAGTCCCTGCTCATCGCACGGGGGTTGGACTAGATGACCTCTAAAGGTCCCTTCCAGCCTGAACGATTCTATGATTCTATGATTCTTTTACGTTACCCTTTGATAGACTATATCACTTGAGAACTACGGACTGTTAAGACCCTCCTATGAACTATCAAACCATCACAGTTCTAAACAAGTTCATGGACATTGTGCTAAATTTGAGTGACTTGCATACCTTTAGACAAGTTTCCAAACAAGACCATAGGCTTTTAAAGATCTGAGCATTCGGAGTGTCAAATCTGACTGCACTGAAAGTTGGAATCAAATAGGTAGTCTGTATGTCTTGCCCAAATATACTACATTAACTTTGGTACAGAATGCAACAAGACAACTTGTTACTCAAGCATGCAAAAGAATCATACAGGGAAAAGTATGTACCTATAGGATTGAAATATCTGTGAAACATGGCACCAGAACATGACGAACAAGAGCACACAAGCTATGACTATGGTTTTTGTTACTCAGAGATTGTTCTAAGTACGGATGGATCATCTTCCACCTGCACAGAGGCAGAATACAAATAGGACTACAGAGAAGAAATTTTCCAAAGCAGTTCTTACTACTAGTCTCTTCATACCATAACACCCAAGCATCTGTAGTTCATCCAGCGACATTACTGAGCTTCAGTCTATTTTTCTTTTTCTTCACAGCTTCCCACTTTCCCCTTATTCCAACTTCTTTTTAGACTAGTGGACTATTTGCACTGGTCTGGAATGTGTTCTTCCATACTAAGTCAGCAACTGAGCTCTAGATATGTCATATGAGAGCAGCTGAGATCAAAGATAATCCTGTCTCCAACCATTGTCAATCTAAGAGGCCCAGTACAGTGATACTTCCCCAGGCTGCTGTCACAGCCCCCTCCAAGATGTATTATCATGTCTTCCTCATAGCTGGTTGTTCCTGATAAGAATGGAAAAATAAATGAATAATCACATCCCAGCTGTGGATTGCTCCTGCCAAACGTGGTGAATAGACAAGAAGACTTCGAATGGAAAACTTGAAAACTATCTTCACAATTAAGCTTCGGTTGCACTACTTCAGTAAGAAGAAGAAAAAAAAAAAAAAAAAAGAAAAAAAAATCTGTTCTTCGCCACACTTAATACATTTAAGGTTTGACAGCACAATACACCAGAAAGCCAGCTCTTGTTCACTGAGTATTCGTACCAGCACAACTCACAGGATTCAGGCAGCACTGTGGGTATAATCACAGTGCCATATTTTGCACCAGCTGCAGTCAACACGAGGTTCACAAAGGCAGCTCCAAATAAAGCACGCTGCAGTCCCCTAGCTCACTCTTTGCAGAGACAGATGCCATCGAACTGAGTTCTATATCCAAGAAAAACACAGACACACAAACCCCCACAATTTCATACTGCTATGGGGCTGAGGCACAAAAGCATTACTTTTTATCACAGCTTAAACTTGGGCTTTAGCGTTCAGCTTTCAGTCAAAAGTGACTACTAAATTGTGTGTATTTGCTGAATCAAAGACAATAACAAAGCTCAAACTCTTCCAAGTGCGTTCACACACACTGTTTATCTGGGTAAGGCTCCAGTTTACATATTTCATAAGTACTGTGTAGTCTTATCCAGTGGAAGAAAATTTCACAGACAAGAAAGTGAAAAAGGTCTGGGGTTGATACTGATTGTTACATTGCCCGTCAGCTGTGTCAGTTCTTCCAAGACAGCACTACTTTCACACAGTTTTAAAGGCTTATACCTGTGGTCAGGGCCCTCAGAGCACCACCAGGCCTCAAAGGCCCTGCCCAGCCTCAGCTGGGGGCTCCATCCACGCCTCACCCTTGGGCTCTGGAGCCCCAGTTCTGCTCACTCTGAGACCTTCAGTCCCTGTCTGAGCCATGTTGTAGGATACCGGACTCCAGCTCAGCCACAGCTGCCCCCCTGCCTGGCCACGGGCCCCCCGATCCAAACCTCAGCCCACAGACCAACCTGCTGAGCTCAGTCCTGCCCTGTCACCATGGTGCTTCCGAGATATCACTGGGCTGTCTCTCACCTGGTGACCCTCAC